CCGCCTGCCATAATCTGACGTATCCCTAGCATTGACGGCCCCATGTTGTGACCTATGCGTCCTTGAGCTTGAACGCAAAGATCCTACTTCTCTAGACAACGCACATCGCAAGGTGTTCAACACTATCCGGTATCTTCAGGATTTCAACACAGTCAAAGCTACACCTCCTGCTCCGAAGCAGCGCAAACCAGACGGATTCGGTAGCCGACGTGGCGAACGGTACAAGGCGAGCCTCAAGCTCCTCCAGGAGTGGCGCGACCGGTGCTGGACACGGGAATATGAAGACTGCATCTGGGGTCCAGACGTCCTTCTCCCTGACAAGATCTTGAAAACATTAGCACGACTTGGGCATTTCTTGACCGTCGACGACATCACGAAGGAGATACCCTCTTGGTCTTTCGCCGACAACCATGGACAAGAAGTTCTCGACTTGCTCCTGCCTTGTGATGAGGAATATCGAGTGAAGTGCGCAAGAAGACCTCGGACAGTACTTCGGCCAGCCAACCAACTGCAGCGGTAAACAGCGACGGTCTCGAGGGTCAGGGTAATCAACCTGCTACGTCGAACTCACAGCCTGCGCCTCCACCTCCACCTCCGCCGTTGCCTGCACTTGCGCCTCTGTACCCAGTTCTTGTTTGGATGCCAGTAGTGTACCCGCCGCTGCTGCCGCCATACTACTGGCCTCAATATGGTAGATAGCGCAAATACACGTATATTTCTGAAAGAAAATTCTCTGGCCATCTGAGACGTGTGTAATAATTTACATGGTATTGTCTTCGTCATCACTGTGAAGTGGATACTCCCAGTCTTCTGTAGTTGCTACGCTAGTGACCCGTTTGCTTGCCCAGCTTTTAATCGTAGCCTGTAGCTTACTTGGCTCGCAGCCCTTTCCAATGTAGTCTTCTGCGACGTCGCTCGAGTTTGTAAGGTGTCGGTTAGCTGTATAAGCATGAGTTCTCTGCTTTGCATACATCTCTTGAAGTTTTGCGACATCCTCTTCCCTCTCGGGACTGCTGTGACTCTTGCCTCGGCGGTAATGATTCACAGTTGCTTCAACGTGATCCTTGATCTTCCGCAGGGTTGGTATAGCTGCAGAGATCTTCTTGATATACTCCCAGGTTGCGTGAGGACCAAAGGCCAAGAAGAGACCCTAAAACACGGCGTTACTTTGGTCTTTGTCATAGGATAATGAGCCCGAATCAGATCTAATGAGATATCATACCTTGATATCTTTGATGTTGTGCTCCTGGGCAAGGTCAAAAGCCTTGAACAAGCCTTCCTTGCCAGTTGAGTTTGCAAGCCAACAATATTTCATCATCCACTCTCTAGAAGCCGTGTGCATTGTAAGCATTATCGAACAGACTCGGAAAGCATATAGGGACGTACACCATATCACTAGGCCACTCGCGTTCAAGGCCCTGAATTAGCTCTAACACCTCAGCAGTATAGTTATGGTTCCCGCCACCAATGAAGCGAAAGAGCATGCGTGGAAGGACGTCTCGCATACGCCCCACATCTCCAGTCTTGATCGCATCATTGAGGTTGAGAAAGATCAGGACGTCGCGGTTGAACTGTACAGCATGGATGAGAATATCATCCTGCTTTTCGTGGCTCATCTTTCGTAGCTTGAGGAGCGCCTTAGTCGAGGCAAAATCCTCGTAGATCTTCTCAGCGAGACGCAGGAGATCTTGCGGCGTGTGTGAGCGTAATTCTCAAGCTTGCTGACACCGCTGACTGTGCACCAAAGATCACGAAAGCGTGCTTCGGCGACATGAGTGAGACCCTCCTCAAAAGAAGCATGGAAGTTCCCTTGGGTAGATGGAGATCCCAGTCCTCGTCGGTCAAGCAGATCAAAATCGCGCTTGAGACCAACACCAGTACTGGTACAATAGTACTGGTTGTGGAATGAGTGTCCGGCATTCACCTCAAAATGAAACCATCCAAAGGATAGTGCAAGACACTCGAGACGTTCAGCCGAGTTCAGATCCTGGGAGTGAAATCGCTTGATACCGCGAAGTCGTGATACTGTTAGCTGATCGCCGATCCATATGATCGTTTCGTGCTCGCCGATGCGTCTCTGTTCCTCGGGTGAGTCCAGTCCAAGCTGCTGCATCCAAAGGCGCATGCAGTCTTCGTTCCCGTCATAAGATGCTTCCTCCCGATGTTCCGTCCCAAGCATATATTGGCAGGTCGCATGCTCGGGGCCAGTAGGGAGCTGCATGACTGGCGGCGGCGGTTTGAAGACGTCGCTTTCATGGTGCTCGTAAGTATTTAACTGGAAGGGGCGGGACTCAATGAGTATGCGTAGAATGTCGTAGATGGCGCGCTGGCGAAGACGAGGCGCTGCTTCCTTCTCGAGCTTGTAGATATCAATATCGCGAATAGGCATCTTGCTGCCAGTCTGAAGCTGCCGCCGATACGCTTTCGTGTTCGGTGGAACCGCCGAAGGGTCCTTTACCATGTAGATTGTTGCAGCCGCGCCGCTGTCAAAGTGCGTCTTGTTATCGAGGCGCTGTTCGTACGAGACAAAGCGCATGTTGATGTTATCGTGGGTGCCTCGAAATTTGAACTTCTTAACGTCGTCTCTGAGGCTTTTAATTGATCGTTCAGCGATCTTTTCGACGCCGCTGAAGAGCCAGGAATGACTCATGGTCAAATCAAGAGCATTCCCGGTGTCATAGCCTTTGGCAGAAAGGCTGTTGCTGCGAAAGTACATTGTCAAGTACTTTTGTACTCGGCAACGGTGGTGCGACCGGCCGAACTGCGCCATGGCAATTGACATTACTGTCGGCTACAGAGACATCAGCGTGAGAAGACCCAAGTGCACGCAAGAGCTTACCAGTTCTGTCGTCTTTGTGGTATTCTTCTTCTCCTGCCGTGGCGTCCAGGATGCCGAGTGAAAAATCGACCAGGTGAGCGGTGCGCACTGCTTTACTTGAGCGACGAGCTCTCCTAGATCCACCGAGAGCAAGCTCTCCTCGGACAGGTCCGATTGAGGCGATAGGAAGAGATTCTTGGTGGCACGAAGCTCGCGGTTGATGCACCTCTTAACCACATCCTCCGCCCACTGGTCCATGACCTTTCCTGCAGCTCGGGTGTGAATGCCGCGGCCATGCGCCCGCGGAGGCTTGTGCCAGTTTGCGAGAATAATCGGGAGTTCTTCACTCCACATGAGCGCGGTCCTTTGATACCGGCAAACTGGATCTTCGAGGACTGCTTGGTCAGTCCAAGACATGTAGTACAAAAAGGTTGGGAGGTTGAAACCCTTGCTTGTCATAAAGTCGAGGATTTCGCGGCATGATTCCGCAATTAACGAAGGGTCTCGAGATTTTAGAAATTCACGAGACGACCTTGTCTGTCGTGTGCAGGGAATGTCGGGTGTGCTTTCAGTGGTGTATTCTTGCTCAATTTCGTCCTCATATAGCTCGTTGTCGCCGGTATCCAGGTCATTTTCTTCAGGAATAGGAACAGACATAGTGGGTATAAAAAACGAAATGTATTTTGCGTTGGAATGGGCGAGTGATAGACGTATGCAAGGGCGAGTAATAGCTTTCCGGGATAGGCGCTTCGATCACGTGCAGATGAGGCCCCCCCGGATGATCCAAGTGGACCAGACATTCTAGCGAGAGACTGCACATCACCATTGATGTCCGACGCAGTCTCCGACCGGCGAAGTCCGGGCGCGCTAGAATGGCTGGGGACGAGACTACGAAAGACTGGGGAAGACCAAGATGCAACAATGCTGCGACTAGAAGACAAGGCCAAACACTACGGGCATCCCCAGATTTCAGGGGGCCCGAAATGTCCCAGACAAGGCATCCGAAATGTAACATTTCGGGAGACTTTCCAGCAACTTTCCCGAGTGCTGAAATGCTCACTTTTCTGTCACTTTTGAGGCAATATCTCTTGTCGGAAAAGGCTGTCTGTCACGCGCTTTGAAATAAACCTGAAACATCCCAGTTAGGCAGGCTGTACTGGTCATATGAGTGTCCCGGAAATTGCCGGGAAAGCCATCATTACTGATGGCTTTGTAATACATTTCAGAACATCAGGAACAAGCGCTTTCGGAGATTCAGAAATTTAA